ATTTTACTTCTAATTGTATTTTCAGTTTTGAAGATAGTCCTAATATTAAATTTTTTACCTACTCGTTTAATTTGATCTGAAAGTCCTGGAATAAACGGAATGAAAAGGTTCGTAATATAATAATAGAATTTTCTCTTACAGCTTGAGCCAAGTGTGTCGTAGGATACCCTCTAGGTGACAGTTCTTGATTACTTTTTGATAAATAATTCGTTCTTATTGCGAAATAGGAGCACTATTTATCAATCTGTAATAGAAGACGTGAGGAAATTCTGTCTTTTTTAAAGACAAAAATTTTTGAGGCAAAATGCCCAACAAGAAGTTTGTAAAAAAATGAATCCGCCTCAACAATATAGAACTTATCCATAAATTAATTGTCAATCAATCTCACAAATTCGTTTCGAATGACCTTTTCTAATGAAGAAGTGACCGACATGGTCAAAGTATTAGGGTTTTGCGAAGACAACTTGCGTGAAAGCGTACGCGTATACGCGCCGCATACTTGCACTTAATGTATAACATTGTTAAGTAGCAAAAAAACAGTCATGTTTTTTTGCGCAAAAACTATGAATGCTACAAGATTTTACAAAGAGCACAAAATTGTAAATAAATGATTAGTGCATCAACCAAAAAAAATGAATTGATTCTATCCACCAAATAAAAGTTCTGGTAGTCTTTGTATCACGACACTCAAGAATACACCACTTGTCGAAAACCGCTGAACTTGATTTTCTCATCAAAGTATGAGTCTTACATAAGAACAAATTCACAGCGAGTTTCACCGAAATACATCGGACCATTCTCCCGATATTTCAAAAAAAATAATTTTTTTGAAGAACCTTGACCATAAATAGCAGAGGACCCTGACATTTTTTGTAGGTCAGATCGTCCTCTTTTGACCCAAAGAATATCGCAGTACCCTTTTGAGCGTGTGCTTACGGGACACCCTGTATAACAGGATAAGAATTATCAGGTTGATACCTAATCTCCGATAGGAGACGGAACAAATAAGTCCTCACTAGTTATGATCAGGACTAATAGATCCAAATCCGGTCCTGGCAGTGCTTGCTTGTGACACAGCCAAAAATAGGTTCCTTATTTGATACCAACGAGTGTTTCCCAAGACGATTCTCATCCAGCTAACGGCCAATCTCCGGCGCATCGTTCGAACCTGACTATGCAACCGATTGTGGCTTTTTGACCTTAGCTTTGTTGAGCTTAGGCTTTTTGATCTTAGACTTTTTTACCTGGACGGCCAACATGAGCTCTTCATTGCTCCAGCGCGGGTTGTTGCGCTGCTTTTCGTCGCTGGGCCTTAGCTCGTCCACTGTGTCAGCGTGTTTACGCTTCAAGGAGCTGACCGTTTGCTTGTTCTGTTGAATCTGCAACAAAAAAACGCCGGTTTAGATCATCGGCTCGCCGGTCTGCTAGAGAAGGACGGGAAGGTGAAGAATTTTACATTTTTTTTATCTAGTTTTCTTTATTCGGACATGTCGGATTGAGAAGCGAAAGCTAACTATGGAGAGGAGGGACAAAGACAGAGATTTGTTTCCTTGCATCAATCGGCAGCGGTGATTTAGCAACCAAAAAAAACAAGCTAAACCGAATAAAACCTCCTCCTCAATTCCCTTCCTCTGCGCGAGCTAGCTCTGCTGTACAATGCACCAAAACAATTACAAACTAAATAAAACGAGTGTTTCTGGTCAGTATCTCTCTGTCTTTCCTCCCCATCTCCGTGACTAGGTGAATGGTGCAGCGGCGCAGATTGAGTGGCGGCATCCGTAAAAGCACGTCGTTCTTTACTCACTTGTCTTTGGAGGGAATCCAACTCTCTCTCCATTCGGCGCAGCAACAAGGTCCCGGCGTTACCGGAAGCCATCGTTGCCAGGTCGTCGTGGTTGATGTGCATTCCTTTGGGGGGCTTACCCCGCGCCCTCGGCCCCCCAGGACCCCCATTTTTTCGACCAATCACTGGGCCCGACGTCGGTCGAGCCGTGCCTGTTCGTCTGAGTTGCAAAATTCAATTGTCAACTCAGTTTTCCTCCTTGGCCCACATCGCGGCCATAGTCAAAGGGCCACCCCTTGGGGCCGACTCAGTCTCATCGACTATAAGTCACCCCAAGGACTGTCTTCCGACAGTCGCATCATCAATGACAACAAATGCAAAATGATCTTTATGAACCGAGGGGGGGCAAAAAACGACGATTTTCGTTACGTTTCATGTACTTAATGTAAGGCCATACTGCTCCACGGTTAGGCCCGGGTAACACTGTGTTGAGTTGCGCTATTCAGCTGTTGCACTTTAAAAGTTCCAAAAATGCCCTATAAAAGTTCTGATTTCAAGAATTATTCCGCCACAAGCGCAATTTGAGGTGTGGCGCAGTGAAGGCGATGAGTTATAAATCACCAACTCACAGAGCGGCATCAACTCAACACAGTGTTACCCAGGCCTAGTTGTTACCGCTCTCTGAGTTAACGAGTTATAACTCGTCGGTTAATGAGCTATAATTCATTTGTTAAAGCTTTACGAGACCCGAGACTGGAATTTTCACATCTAAAAATGAGTTATTGACATTTTTTCTGATTAACGTGTTACTACTTTCTTCAAACAATTAAAAAAAATAATCTAGATTTTCCCAGCAACAGAACTAAGTCCAAAGAAAGTCGACGAGTTTTCTTGTAAAATCGATCTCTTCATTGCTTTGCATAAAAGATTCAGTTTGCCAGTATTTCACAGTAAAACGTTAGAAAAAACGCGGTTTTTCTGTTTAGAGACAGTGTTGTCTCACACTAAATGATTATAAACTTTCGCTTTTTCAGTTAGGGAAAATATTTTTGGAAAATACCTTGAAATAATTATTAGGGTTTTGTCCATAATTCGAAGCTCTACAAAGTTTTCAAAGATTTTTGCAAAGCGTTTAAGGAGGCGAGTGTTCCAGTAAAACTAAAAAATAATGCGATTTTTGCGTAGAAAGAATTGCCTAATAGAAACTGCTAAAACTGGAATGACCTGAAAATCTAAAGGAATTTAGAAATCCTCAGAGCGTTACATACGATACAATAACTGTTTGTAAACTTTTGCTCTCTGGTCGTTTTTTTTTTTAAGATAGTCCTACTTGATTACTTTCGGTAAAGAACTGAATAAAATTATTTGGTTTTTGTGCCAAATTCGACGCTGAAATGGGTTTTCTAAAGCTTCCTGCAAACCGATGAATGAGGCGAATTGTCCAGAAAAATTATTTTTTTTATTTTTGGCTGAAAACACCCCAATATTGGCAAAAAAGAAGAAAATCATCAGAAAATTTTCTTTTTATTAAAAACTTTTAGTTTTGCGATCAGTTTTTGAGAAAACGTGAATGATTTTCGGGGAAGACGGGTGAAATGTATTTTCGTTTTTGTCCCGAATTCGATGCTGAAAAACGTTTAAATTCCTACAAAGCTATAAATTATTCTTGTGATTTTTCGCTCGAGAGACCTTCAGATCGTCAGTATTTTTAAGTGAAACTCTACAAATAGAGCGTTTTTGAGAAGAAAGTAAAGCAGAAAACTTTCATTCAAAACTAAAAAACCTCATTTTTTAACAAATTCTACAGTCTTCAGAGGAATGGAGGTGACGAGATTTCCAAATATGTAATGTGTTATAAACTTTTAATCTGTTTAATTAAAACGCTTAATCTGTTCGTTTTTTGATAGAAGATTGTTTGATTTTTCTTCCAAGTTCCAGTTTGCAAAAAGCTGGAAAGGGAATTCAAAACTGTTTACAAAGCGACGAAAGATTCGAAATTTATTTCATAATTTTTCGCGGAAAATACCTTTAGATTGTCAGCAATTTTAAGTGAAACTTTAAAAAATTGAGCATTTAGAAGAAAGAGTAACTTGGCTCAAAAGGCTAAAAATGGACAATTCTGAAATTTGAAGACATTTTAAAAATATTGTTAATCAATGACCTTTAAAATAAATCTAAAAAAGTAAAAAAAGTCATCAACATTTTCCCAGCTAGCGGAAATTTTGCAAAAATTTCCGTTCAAAACACTTTTGTTCAATTGAGTGTAAAGTCAATATCTTTACCGAAGACGGAATTCAATACAAAGAAACGAGGTCACCGAATTTTACCAAAAATAATGCCCGAAGAACAATGCACAACATTAACCACTCTCCGATGCGATTTTTGAGTTGCGAGTTCTTCTAGGCAGGACACTGAATAAACTACAAGAACATTTCTGCAGCTCTGCTTAATTGAGTTGGCAGCTAGTCGCTTCTCTTAAAAGGGCACCGAATAGTGTTGGATAAAACTGCTCGTTAAGGCAAGAAACGAGTTCCAAGAGGCTGTTGGGGCCCAACCTGGGAGACGGAGAAAATAGTAGGCAAACCATGGATAAATCAAAGAGATCATTCTGCATTTGCTGGCATTCGAGTTCGATTACCTCCAATGCTGATAGCAGCTGTTACATAGATGTCCTTTCGGATTCCGATGGGTGATGGAACAAAACACTCCACAGTTTGAACAGGTGCCCCCCTCGCCCTGCGCACACGATTGAACCGTAAAACACCAGTATTAAGAGAGTGTGTTATTGAGTAGCATGTTTGTAAAGGAAGGCTTAAGTGTTCTGGGGGGGACGAAATGACTGCAACATGCATGTGGGCGTTTGAGGCATTAATAAAGCGCTTGACAACAAGTACAATTGCACGTAAGTAACGACAGGTCGGGCTGCTTTGGACTCACTTAGATCCTCCTACGCGAAACTACGTAATCGATTTGGGGGGCGCGGAAAAAATAGTACAATGCGAACGACCATAACCACAGCCCTAAGGCGTGAATAAGCAGATGATGGATATCGTGCACAGCTAATGAATAATCTACCTGTGTGGCAGAGTCTCTGCTCGATTGGCCGGTTCTACTCGAGGTGCCGCTTTTACGATTTATGCCCCGATGAAACGTCCATCTCTGTTAAAAAGCCTCTCATTTATGTGGACAAGTAACGCTTTTTGAACATTAGAGCCTGGAAAGGGGAAAGATCGAACGGGAGCTACTAACCTTCTCGTCATGGTCGGAGTCCTCGTTAGAGCCATGCTCTTCGCCCTCCTCAGCTGCTCCTCCTTCTCCTTTTGAATTGTTCAATTTACGCGCCTGCTTATCCATTAAACTCGTTTTAGAGCGTGTCTTCTTCCAACTGTAGTAGTACTTCACTAAGCTGGCTATCGATTTATCTGGAAGCTAAACAGAACATTTTTGGACTAGATACTTTGAACAGATACGCATTTGTGCGACAAATTCCAATGTGCAATGGTGGCTGGGAGAGACTGCCAAGAATTGGCGCAGCTAATTTTTGGAAACATTGCACGAGTTTTCACTATTCTGTAAAAAGTTGACGATTATTCGGAAAACGAATATTCCGTGGTTCGTTTTGTGGCATTTTCCGGCCGGTAGTGAGTGAGTTTTTTTGGTACAAAACGCCGTTTTTTTATTCTGAACGTTGTGGCGTTTGCTGTGACACGTATAGCAATCACTTGAGTGGTATTAAAACGTTAAGTGCGCTTAAAAGAAGCGTTTGAGTTTTTTCGGTGTTTTGTGGCTGCCACCAGTGAACGGATTGGATGCAGAAATGGGCACATTAATGGAAAACCTCAGTTTTTAAATCCTGAACTGTTAAGATAGAAAAGTAACAAGGATTAGATCTGAAAAAATTGCTACTTGCACGATTTAATTTCCACAATCAACGGGAATTGGGTACGTTTAGGTAAAAATGAACGTTGTTAGTCACGAGGTAGTTTGGGACCGACCAATCACGACGGGATAATCTGGACATTAAAGTGTTTGACGAGTTTTCGCGAGTTTGGGAGTTTGGTTGGTACTTGTGGACACTTGCGATGCCTAAAGGCAAGTGTAATTTCATCAAGATTTCATCGTTCAAGGTATTAAAATTTCGCCTTTTAAATCGTTCAAGCTAATTATTTTGTTGTTATTTCAAGTTTGTAAAAATATTAATCCGCCTTAACAATAAAGAACTTATGTAGTTATTTGGGTAACAATTAACTGAACGCAAAACGCTCTAAACCTGCCGATTCAAGTAATTTCAGTAAGTGCCGTGCCCGACGGGCCACAACAATCGCATTAGAGTTTTAATCTCTTTGTTGTATCATCTTTCTCATTATCGCTTAAAGCTGTAGATGAGGTTACGGAGTCTATAATTTGCTCATCGGTCAACATTTCTCTTGTAAGAGTGCCATTATGAATGCTCACATATTCGAAGAAATTGAAATCACTCAATTTGGTTTTAACTTGTTCTTCGACAACATTGGGACATCTTCGTCTGTGTCATACTCGTA